CTGGCCAGTCTTTCCATTTTATAGGGCAAATGATTCCGTTTTTCAGTCAGCCCATGGGAGTTACAGTTGTATAGCTGACTCCCCAAACTACTAGAGTTATCTTTCTAACCAGGAGAGTTTCAGCTTTCATTCCTGCCTTTGTGCATTTGTTTCTGCATGTTCGTGATCATTTTCCCAGCATTTACAAGACGACAGTGAAGTCTGGTGGGGTTGTGGGGTGTAAAGACAGACTCTGCTACCCTCTACCTCTCAGTGCCACGAGGGAGATGAGGTACAAATAGGAGATTTTACAAAACCTGGCCATTAGGGTGGCAAATCATTCCTGAGGTATTTGGAGTGAGGCAGGGAACACACCTTTTTCAGAGTGGGTCTATGAGAGGTGTCAGAGAGGTTTTCCTGAAGGCGGTGACCACTCCTGTGACTTTTAGGGATGAGAAGCTTGTGGATAAACAGGGAGCACTGAGGTGAGGAAAACAGTCTAGGAGAGGGCCAAATGAGTAAGGACGTGGCAACTGGAAAGAGCAGGGTGAGTACTTGGAGCAGCCAGTGGCTCATGCAGCTAAAGCTCACTCTGTGAGCAGACAGAAGGCACATACTGAGGCAGAAGGAGGCACCAAGCCTCAGACAGTGGAGGCCAACTGCCTCTATGATCCTGCTCATTGCTCAGCACCCAGTAGATGTTATCTCCTCCCAAAAAGATTCCAGAGGCATCTCGAGCTGTTTCTTCCATGACCTTCTTGCAGAGACCACACTATGACCTTTACTGCTTAGCCACCATGGGGGTGGAGGTGGTAACCTAAGGTCCAGGGTGGGTGCAGAAAATGGGGGAATGGTAGATGTTGAGTTCAAAAGAGGATTTATTAAGCACATACAACATACAAAGGACCATGGTCAGTTTGGAAAAAGATGTATGGGGAATAAAGCCAAAATTACAAAGGTGAACTTTTTAAAATATCTAACCTGCATACTTTCTTCTGCAACACAGCTAGTCTTTCCTGCTCCCCCAGTGAAGCTATCCCAGTGACTCCAACCACCTGTAACTGCTCAGATTCATTTCAATGAACTCTGAGCAGCCTCCAGTCTGTTAGATTTGGGCATTATTTCAAGGCTTTTCAAATAATACATTTCAATACACACTTTGTATTTTCATTTTCTTAAGATTATTTTTAAACTTTCCTGGAAGTACTAATGAGTAATTAGGTGACATCTAATATAAAACAAGGAGAAAAGGAATACCCAAATGACAAATGGATGTCAAGACATAAATATAGAAAATGAGGAAGTGTCTTCATTAAAATATTCTTTATCACACTTGGTTCTAAGAGGCATGAAAAGAGTGTGATGATCCTGTATTGATGTTTCCTGTATTATGAAAGTAAAATTTGGGAAGTTGAGAGATGAGTTATAAACCACAGCGAACATGTCACACAGTGAAATATGGAAACTTATTTCAGCTTGGACGATTACAAATCATAAAAAAACTTGATCAAGGAATAACCTCTATAACATTCCCATATTTTGAAATTTGTAAATGAATTCTTTATGGCCATATATGTCTCTCTTATAAAAATGTTCCTGCGTATTGGGAAAAATAAATGTGAATCATGCAATTGTTGGGTGAAGTGCCTATGTACGTTGCTCAGACCAAGATGGTTGGTGGTGTTGCTTAGTCTTCTACACTCTTCACTGCTTTGGCTACTAAGTATTTAAAGAAGTTTACTAGAATCTTTTAGCTTCTCTCCATTTGCTTTATATATTTTGATCAATGTTATTAGGTTCATAAAATATTAGAATTGTTTCTGTCTTGTGAAATTTCCCCCCTTTGTATTTTGAATTTGCCTTCTTTATCTCTAAGACCACTTTTTCCCTTATAGCCTAATAAATTATCGGGCCTTAATATATCAATTATTGACCAATTTGTTAATATTTATATTAATAATAGATTATTAATAGGTAATCAGTATACTAATATAGCCATGTCAGGATTCTTTCACTTAGTTTCAGCATGAATAACACTCAATTCTCTGAATTTCAAGCAATCTGAGTTTTAAAGTGTGTCTTCTTAATGCAGTGTGCATTTTTGTCTTATTTGTGTAGTCAAAATTTTTGACTTTTAATTGGAATGCTTGTTTCATTTAAATTGGTTTCTCTTTTCCTCTCTTTTTTTATTGTTGTTCAAGTACAATTATCTCCCTTCCCCCACCACCACTCCCACCCACCCAAGGCATCCCCACCTCCCACCCTTCATCCCACCCCCCTTTGGCTTTGTCTATGAGTCCTTTATACATGTTCCATTTAATTATATTTCATTGTGTATGCTACTACAGTTGTCACAAAGTTCCCCCTTTGTCCCCTCCACACAGTCCCTCCACCCCTTCTCCCTCAAGCAATCCCCACACTGTTGTCCATGTCCATGGGTCCTGAATATAAGTTCTTTGGCTGCTCTCTTCCCTATGCTATACTTTCCACCCCATGACTATTCTGTAATTACCTAGTTGTACATCTTAATCCCTACACCTTCGGGTTTCAGTCTACTATCTTGCTATTCTACATGTCCTGTCTTTATTGAAAGCATTTTCAAGTTGAGATAATTTTAGATTTATGAGAAATGTATACAGATATTACAGAGAATTGCTGTGGACCTCTGCCCAGTATTTCCTACTGCTGATATCTTACATAATTATAATACATTATTCAAGACATGAGATTAACTGGGACATTGGTATTGCCTAAATTCTAGTCTCTTAGTACAATATCACGAATTTTTCACTGTTGTCCATTTGCAATTCTGAATCCAGCCCAGCATTCCACAATGGGTTTAGTCATCACGTGGCCTTTGTCTCCTCTGAGCTCTGACGGACCCTCGGTATGGTCTTGTTTTTCCTGAAGTGGACAGTGTCCAAGAATTTGTGTTGGGTATTTTGTAAAATGTTCGTCAGCTTGGCTTTCTAGGGTAATTTCCCATGATCCTCCCTGAGTTCTGGGTTTGGGGAAGAACGTCCTGGTGATGTGGTCCCTCCCATTCCTGGCATTTTGGGGAGGACACAATATGGACCCATTCACAGGACACAACTGGTGATAATAACGTGCATCACATGGTTAAGGTGGCCTTTGCCAAATTCTCCCCTGTAACGTTATTGTTCATTTCTTTTCCCTACTCTCCTGTTTGGAAGTAAATCCCAGAGCCTGGCCCACACCCGCAAGGGGAGACAGTTGAGCTCTTCTCTCAGGGGGGACGGACACTCTGCTCACCTCACTTACTTGGCATCTTCTGTAAGATTTGTCCCTTCTGTGCTGTACATCTGTTGTTCTGCTCCTTTGTTTCTTCATTTCTGTCTGCTTTTGTGTTATTCATGTATTTCCTTGTGCTCCATTCTAACTCCTTGTCAGTTTTTTTAAAGCATTTCATTTATTTTTAGAGAAAGGGAGAGAGAGAAACATCAATGTGTGGTTTTCTCTCAAATATCTGTGATGACTAGATATCTGTGAGGGATCCCCTACTGGGGATCTGGCGCACAGCCTAGGCTTGTGCCTTGAGTGGGAATTGAACTGGTGACTCTTTGGTTCACGGTCCCGTGCTCAATCCACTGAGCCATACCAGCCAGGCCACCTTTTTAGATTTTTAAGTGCAAAATTTTGCATTTCCTTCTTAGAAGTCACTTTTTAAATGATGATCTATATCTTGCCACATTATACTTTCTTAAACTTAATACTTTTCTCTAACCACTGAATAAATATGTTATAATTGCATTTATCTCCCTAACTGTCCTTTGTGCTACTTTTGTCATGTATTTTACTGTACAGTCTGTTTTTCTCTGTATTTAAGTATTTTGGAGGATCCACTTTTGTACCTGTTGTAATTAGCATCATGAACAAGAATAAAAACACAAGTGTAATGTTTGAAAAACCACTTACCAAAAGCATTTACAAGGAGCCATTGTTAAAATACTTCTAAACATTCAAAAATTTACAGGGAACTATTTTTCAAATAATGAATTGGCCAGGGTGAAAAACTACAGTATTTTATATAAAACTAGGCTTCTCAATGTGGGTGGGAAGAGTGGTATGTCAAGGAGTCCTGCATGAGTAAGAGAAATAAAAGGGGAAGATAAAGTTTAAGGGTAGGCTTGACCTATGCAGAAGAATCCAAAACTACCCTGGAACTTACTTATGAAAAGTTGTGTACTTATTCTTACATGTTTAAACTTCAGTCACTTTCAAAGTACTCAAGAAACCTACTGACAGGGGTGTCCAGCCCCCAGAAAGTGGACCTGACCAGTGCTGGTTCACGACCTGTGAGGAACCAGGCCCCGCTGCTCTGGACCGAGGAGCAAAGCTTCTATTGCATTACCCCCCGGGCTCTGCCTCCTGTCTCCTTCCTCACCTGCCACCAACCGTGGAAAAATTCTCTGCCAGGGAACTGGTCCCTGGTGCCAAAAAGGTGGGGCACTGCTGCCTACCCAGCAAGACCTTTTCTCACTGCTCAAAACAGTCTTTGAATTTGTCTGTTTTAATGACATTTAGTGCTTCTGCTGGTTGTTTGTTTGTTTGTTTCACCTCTTCCACATGGCAGAATATTTTCCTTTGAGAACCTTCTTCATCTGGGAAAACGCTAAGAAGTAGCTCCTCTGGGGCACGATCCAACCAATAGGGAGGGTAGGACATGGGTGTCAAGCCATTTTTGGTCAGGTGTGCTCGTAAATCACCCATCATGAAATGGGCAAACAGGTTGAAAGAGTCTTCAAAGAATAATTCCCTGAGGCTGAAGGCAGCCTCTCACAACAGTGTGAGCTGGCACCGTGATACACATGGGTTCCTAACACTCAGGTAGTGGGGGAAGCCCGAACTACCAAGGGCCCACCCTCCAGAGGATAATTCCAGGGGGCTTGGGTCCTCCCTCCTAGAATCTACCGGTATAATATGCTAGGCGTCCTGCAGAAATGGAAGAGCCAGAAGAATAAAACAAAATCTAAACATGTTATTGTTTTCAAAACGTTTATTTTCATGTCATTTGTAAAAATGTAACAGTAGTTTTACCTCCTCTGTTTGAACACAAAGAAATCATGGCAAAATGAACATTAAACAAGGCATTGTGCCTTACAAGCAAGACATAAAATGTCCAAGGGAAGCTTCAACATCAAAGTGCTGACCACCTAATGTGAAATAGTTTCAATAAATAAAGAATGACATTCTTTTACTCAAGTACAAAAATAGATGTGCACACACATTCTCTGACCCTAATAAGCCATTTCACTGTCCAGTTGCTTAGACTCCCCTCTCCCACACCTCCTCCTACAGCTCTATCACAGTGCCTGGCTCTTAATGGTCTCCCGATAAACATTAGCCTCATGAGACACTTAAAATCCATCATCTTCAAATAAATAACAATCAGAACTGAGTTATGTTTCATTAAACACATTCACACCTTCCACACCTTTAAATACTAACATGTACAATGTTAAAATATGAGCTCTGAAAAATAAATACACATATAAATAAATAGACCTCTGATAAATAGAAAAGTCAAACACAGGAATCCCTGTGTAGCTGTTGCAGGAAGCCATTGTCCCCTTCTCATTTTCAGTCCCCTCAGGGCAGGGACCTCCTTTCAGGAACCACCACCAGGAGCTGCTTCTCTCCAGGTCAGTTGGTGCTGCCCCTAGGGTGAGAAAGGGTTCTGTCAGAGGTGTCAGGGAAAGCTGTCTCCTCTCCCACTGGCCCCTGAAGCTGGAGGGCTTCTGCCTGCAGACTCTGGCCCAAGGCTGTGCCAGCAGAAGGCTCCCCTGTACCTTCTCCCCTGCACAGCAGAGAGCTGGCTTGCTTTTTCATTGAGAGAAGCAGGACTGTGGGCTCTTTTTTGTCACACTGGGCTATAAAGTTACATGCATGACCTCATTTAATTCTCATACAATACATGGAATCAATAGGTAGTATTTCTACTTCCTTTGCTGAAACTTAAAGAGATGAAGAAAGAACACTTTCCTCCACTTGATCTGAGGGAGGTCTTGCTGCCAAGTCCCTGCCTTTCACCTTAAACTTCCCAGGCCCACGCTGTCTCAGACCAGGGATTCCACTCTTCAGGTCTAGGGCCAAGGAGGGATTGAGGCAAACAGTGTTTGTTCCTTGAGTGGCAGGCAATTTAGCATCACTGACTACATGTACTTATTTTTTACGAAGACATAGTTACCCACACTCATGTGAATGGGGATGGAGAAAAATCCATCCCCACTGGAAAAATCCCGTGGGACCAGAGCAAGGTCATTACCTTGCTGCCAAATCTAACAGTGACATAATGATGATTTTCACGCCTTCAGCTAGACCCTGGGTTTCCCTGATACATTTTTCAGGAGGCAGATGCCAGAATCTGTCACCAAGGACTTTAGAGTCACATAACTCACTTGTTCAGCATCTTTTCGATCATTTTCTTAACGAAAGGGGCTTCAGGGTTGAGACAAACATCCTGTCCGTTCTTGAGTGTGGCTCTGCAGAGAGAAGGGACAGTCCCCGTGAGCCAAGTGGGCAGGAGGAGGGTCAGGGTGGAAGCATCTGAGCCTGGGAGGCAACACTTACACGACTTCGGTTTGGTCGCAGGAGGCTCCTGGGGCTGTCACCTTCACACTCTGGATGTGCTTGGGGTGAATTCCTTGCAAGGTCTGCAAACACTGGCAGCGAAGTTCATTGGCCACAGGCGCCCCTGTGGGGACAACAGACTCTGTTAGGGAAGCTGTCCCCAAGGGCGCCCACCCGTGGTCCCCTGTCCAGCCTTTGGGATCCCAGGGCTCCAAGTCTCACCTGCAGCGTGGCGGCAGGAGGTGACCAGGAGCAGGAGCAGCAGCGCTGCCCAGAGGAGTCCGGGGACACGGGGGACAGTGGGGGTCGCGGTGCGGGTCATGGTGCTCAGCTTGGTGGGTCTGGTTGGCGGTGCCTAGAGCTCGAGAGCTGGCTGGAGAGCTGGCTGGGCGAGATCTGTGGCTCCCGGAGACGGAGGAACCCCTTTTATCCATGATCCGGGGAAGGAAAGTTCGCAGCTCCCAGTCCCGGGAAATTCCCACACCTGCGGGTCGCCCGGGGGTGCGGATGACGGCGCTGCGCTGGCCGGTGCACCAGGAGTGACGACAGAGAGCTGGGAGGGCGGGGAGTGGGGTGGGGAGGGGCGTGGTATCCGCCCGTGCTGCTCGCTCAAGCTGGTCTCCTGAGTGACAAAGCAGAGTCTGGGATGATCTCTTTCCGCCCAAATCCCCAGGGGTCCAGGGGGCGAGTAGCCTCATAAGAAGGGTGTCACTTATCAGCACAGACAGGCACTTGGATGAAGGTTAGTTGTGAGGATTGGGGGAATTGCGGTGTGTGGGGGTGTGCGGAATCATGGAGAGGATTGTTTTAGCATTTATTAAGTGGCATAAATGTCTCTGGCTTGATGAGTTACCTCTGCACACATACACTCTTAAACATATCTGTCATCTCAGATTCCACATAAAATGTTCTCCTTGTTGTAAATCACACTTAGAGTCCTGTCAGGGGAGAGGGCATGAGGAGTGTCAAAAGTTTAATTCAGAGTGTAATCAAGGACAAAGTGTCCTGATCCTGTACAGCTTCCTTCCTCTGTGAAATTCTGGAACTTCCAGGGCTCTAGTGGTCCATGAGCACTACTACCTCTTGGGTGCCGAGGGCCCTGATGCAATCAGGAAGTAGGGGCTGCTGGTCACTTGGGTGCTGCTGGGGGGAGGGAGGGCTGCACTGGGCTCACAGGGTCCACCTGACCCCACCCCCTTGTCCCCCCAAAAAAGTCACAGGAATGGAGAGATGCTGTCTATGTGAGTAGGACCCTTTGCTCTCTAAACAACAAAAACATGCGTTCTGGTGAAATGGCTGAAGTGAGAAGTACTTATTTAATCTTCCTTCCTTCGTTCCTTCCTTTTCCTTCCTTCCTTCCTCTTCCTTCCTTCCTTCCTTCCTTCCTTCCTTCCTTCCTTCCTTCCTTCCTTCCTTCCTTCCTTCCTTCCTTCCTTCCTTCCTTCCTTCCTTCCTTCCTTTGTTTCTTAATTTTTCTTTCTTTCTTTCCTTTATTTCTTTTGATTTTATTTATTGATTTTTAGAAAGGGGGAGATCAGGAGAGAGAGGGAAAGAAACAGGGATGTGAGAGAGAAACATGGATTGGTTGTGTTTCACAAGCTCTGCACCAGGCTCTATTTACAATCCAGGCGTGTGCTAAGGAGGGGAATCAAACAGGGGTCTTTCACTTTGTAGAACAAGGCTCAACCAGTTGAGCCAAATGAGCAACGTGGGTCAGAGCAAACCCCACTTTTCTTATTTTATGTTCACAAATCTCATTTTGCTTCCATATTACACAGACTATTCTCCCTTCAGGTCAGAAAATTATTGTCTCTCTAGAGAAATAATCGTAGTCATATTTTGGTTTCAGTGATTTCTAGTAAGACCTTTCAAGCTGTTAATTTAAGCCTTTGTCATGCAATAGCTCCTTTTTCCACCCTAATTTTAATGTCCTTTGTGGGATTATTTGTAGGTTTCAGATGGTTTAGCTGTGATTCTGGATGCAGATCAGTGAGAGTTGTGGGAACATTACGTGGGAAGGTGTGCAGAGAGGAAGAAGAGGAGGGAGGGGATGCTGTAGAGATGCCAGGGCGTTCCCAGTCAGGTAGGAATTCTGGCTCCCCCAATACCAATAGATGACAGTGAATCTGTCCGTGCCTTCATTTTTCATCTGTAAAATGGTGCTCTCTACTTCAACAGGTTGTTATGATAAGTAAGTGTGTTACGTTAGTAAAACACTAGTACATATAATTTGCTATGTCATTTAAAAATAAACCATAAATTGCTTTTCCCATATCACTAAGCTGAAATTCTTTTGGGAATAAAATCCTTGTGTAAAGAGAAATTTTAAAAAAATAGAAGAACCCTCCAAGCAATATAAACTTTTTGTACTTTTTAAACAGAAAACTAAGAATGGATTTTTTTGGTCATCTAGTTTAATTGTTGGGTGATTTTTTAATTTTAGTTTTAGTAATTTCAACTACAAAATGTGACTAAAACTAAAGATATAATTTCTTGATTTTAGAAAAGATTATGAATGACTGGGTTAAAGTAAATATTTGTCTTTATCCTTTTTAGTCACCATCTATATAATCCTGAGAAAAAGAACAGGGAATTTAAGTTTTTTAAATGAGTAGGAAGTGAAAGGTGACCTAAAGTTTATAAACTATGAGTAGCTTGGCAATAATTGAGAATTTGTATAGATACTCTTGTTGTTATATTTGTCTTTCTGGGATTCTTAATTGGAAACACTGTTTTCTTGAGATAATCAGTAGCCCAGAATTAAAATAGCTATTCTTTGAGAGTTAAAAATATGGTTTTATTTTTCTGATTATAGTTCTATATCTGCTCATTATTGAAAAATTATAAAGCATAGAAGGCATAAAGATATTGTTAGTAAGCCTTTTTAACTTTTATCCAAGGAACAAACTTCAGCAGATCTTTTCTTTTTTTTTCAATATCCTTAGAAATGTATTTATTCTATGTGTTTACAGGATGCTGATTAAATATAAAGTGTTACAGTAAATTATACTTTGCTATAATAGGCAATGTTTTAAATCCTTTACATATGTAAATAGACTAAACTTAATCTTCTCAACTGTCCCCATAAAGCAAGTCACTAGTTATTTTTTTCTCCACAGTTTTCCTCCACCAGGGGCAGAGAATTTAAACAATTTGCCCAGTCCTCACAGTGAGTGAAATTCAGAACTTTAGTTCTAGAGTGTGCAGCTTTACCCACTACATAATATAAAACAATGTGTTTCCTGAGACACTTGGTGGGTAACCTCAGGAGAACAGTTTGGTTTGGTCTGGTTTAAATATGATTGTTATTCTCATGGTTGAATAGTTCAATGTTATCTTTCCTAAAACAAACAAACAAAAAAGAGCAATCTGCTCCCAAGTCTTCCAGTGTTTTATGTCATCAATGGCAAGCGTTTTCTTTTGTGGCATGAATATGATATATTTAAGTTTAATAAAGTCTGTGTCTATTTCATCTGTCTGTTTGTTGCAAATCAATGGACTTCACCTCCAGAATCTGAGGGCTTCCCAGAAGGGGCACTGAGCATTTTAGTCAGCTTTATTTGCTGAGAAAAAGATCCTCTTTTCCTGCTGACCCAGATTGAGTCATATTTTAATGACTGAACAGTTTTGCCTTTGGAGTTGACAGGAGGCTACATAGAACTTCAGTCTCTTTAAAACTTAAGAAAAAGGAAGATGTTTGTTCTAATGCCAGATCCAACCCAAATTATTGGCATCAGCAAATACTCATGGCGAATGAATAGAACATGAGGAAATTTACATTAGTAGTCCCCCAAAAGGAAACATTTCAAGAAGCAGCCTCATGTGTGTAGAAGTATCTATAATTTTATACCTAAGTATAAAATGATTCGGTTTTATAATATCAGTTCCTTACAAAATGAAGCACAAAAGATAGGTTTTTCTACCTAAATATGCTGTCGTCATTCAATCCATAGCAACCCATATTTATCTTTCCAAAAATTTAAACAGTGATGGGGTTATGAAGACTACTAAATTCATTGCATTCTTTCTTGTTTTACAGTGTGTTAACCCTAATTGCTCATTTGATGAGCTGAATGACAGATTTATATATATGCCTGAACTTAAGATTAATGAAACCACCAATTTGAAAAGATACAGCCACCCATAAAGTAAAACTATTGGTAGCTAAATCCCATTTTGAGCCATGGTATTTACTTCATCCTGCAGAATTGATTGACATTATCTAATCTGCCTTTATAATCCGGCCTTGCTGCTGCATCCTCAAATCATGGAGTCACAGAAATGGGTAGTGCACTGCTGTTTTCCTAGCGCTGGCCTCTGGAAATTGAGCCATCACAACTGCCAGCCCTGCTTTATTACAATTACTGCTTCTAAGAGAATGACTCTGGCTCTGAGCAGAGAAGAATGGAGGTGTCTAAACGTGGCATTAAATCCCTGGATGCATACCCTTCTTCAGCCCAGAGTCAATGTCATCCTCCTGGTCCAGTCTCTGGTGTATTTTCATTTCTGCCTGGCTTGGGCTCCTTCCTCTGCCCTACAGAATCTGGATCTCCTTGGGGAACCGTCCCTTCTTCCTCCCAATCTGGCTGGTTCAGATAGGGTGACCCTACTCCAAAGCTCCAGGGGGTGGCTGGTGACCCCAAGTAGTGTTACTCAGTCCTTGCAATCCTGGTCCGATACCCAGGCTTTCTGCTAGACCCTGAGATGGGCAAGTGACCTCAGCATGATCAAGTAAGAAGAACTTTCCCTGAGTCCTTTCTTTCACGAAATGGTAGGGGAAAAGTCTTGCTTGCTGCAGGGCTGTATCTGATAGGACAGAAACTCAGACCTTTGTCAGCGCTTGCCTAAAATGAAATCAGAATAGAGAAAAGGAGGCATATCTGGACTGAAGCTTATTATTGAACAGAAACTTTGAACTGTATCATTCAACTTCATTTCATCTGCTGGCCAGTCTTTCTGTTTCATAGGGCAAATGATTCTGTTTTTCAGTCAGCCCATGGGAGTTACAGTTGTATAGCTGACTCTCCAAACTACTAGAGTTATCTTTCTAACCAGGAGAGTTTCAGCTTTCATTCCTGCCTTTGTGCATTTGTTTCTGCATGTTCATGATCATTTTCCCAGCATTTACAAGACGACAGTGAAGTCTGGTGGGGTTGTGGGGTGTAAAGACAGACTCTGCTACCCTCTGCCTCTCAGTGCCACGAGGGAGATGAGGTACACATAGGAGATTTTACAAAACCTGGCCATTAGGGTGGCAAATCATTCCTGAGGTATTTGGAGTGAGGCAGGGAACACACCTTTTTCAGAGTGGGTCTATGAGAGGTGTCAGAGAGGTTTTCCTGAAGGCGGTGACCACTCCTGTGACTTTTAGGGATGAGAAGCTTGTGGATAAACAGGGAGCACTGAGGTGAGGAAAACAGTCTAGGAGAGGGCCAAATGAGTAAGGACGTGGCAACTGGAAAGAGCAGGGTGAGTACTTGGAGCAGCAAGTGGCTCATGCAGCTAAAGCTCACTCTGT